TTAAAGAAAAGAGAGGAATTCGTGAAGTGTATTAGGTGTTATAAATAAAATACAATTAAAAGTTAAAAAGTTTATTTAACAAAATATACTTAATATTAAAAATTATGTGTCGCCGTCGTCACTATCTTTTTCTAATAGTGCTACCCCTTGGATTAAATTTATGGTAGCACCTGAACTGGTGGAAGGAGTTGGCTCCTCATCGTCGACATAACGAAGTGTCGCTGTCGTCACTGGCGTAAGTAATAAAACGCTCAATGACTGAATCGACTATAATTATTGTCATTTGTATTTGGTCCTGCCATTGCAAACAAATTTAAAACAATAACACTCGTAACAAAAGCTAAATTTAAAACAATAATAACAACTCGTAACAAAAACTCAATATAAACAAAGGGTTCCTACAACTTTAGTAGGCGCATGCGTAACCGGGAGCGAACGGAACGTGGACGCGGTGCGGGAGGGGAGGGTCGACTGACTCACCAATGCGCGCTCGGAACGGTGCTTCGTCTTTCCCCGCGTCCCGCTTGACAACAAAAGAGACCTAAAAAACGACTTCTGCGCATCTAGCGACTCTTGCCAAGTTACGTGCCGGGGACTATACCTCATTATAACCAAAAAATTTTATCGAAAAAAAAATAATGTTTGGGGTGAACAACCCCTATCACTTAGAGGTATGAAATATAGATAGTAGCCGATTCTCAGACCTATTGAACATACTATTGATACACAAATAAAACCAAAGAAACATGGCTGAAAAATGTATAGTGAGTAAGACAGGAGACCGGCTTCGTCCTCATCCCTACTACGTGATGTTTGCTGGATGAGTGGTGACACCTGGCGGGGATAACTGATCGATTGATAGTTGATCAGTAGTCGACCGGCGAGGGCAGGAGATCAAATTGAATTAAAAAAAAATCATAATTAAAGGAACTTGAAATTATAAACTCTGAATAAGAATTTATCGTACTACAGTTATAATATTTGATTGCCATCTTGCAACCTTATTGCGGATCTGTGCATAGAATAAAAAAAATAAAAATTGGGATGGAAAAATAGGGGTTGATCGTATAAGAGTGAAAATTGAGAGTAATATATATTTTTTTATTTTAAGTCATGACAAAATAAAAAATAAAATCTTACCAAAAAATTTAAAATTTATAATTAACAAATAAAAAATAGGGGTTGATCGTACAGGGGTGAAAATTTCAGAGCAATATGAAATTTTTTATTCTAAGTCATGACAAAATATAAACAAAAATCTTGCAAAAAATTTAGTTTTTAATTAGCAAATAAAAAATAAGGGTTGATCGTAGAGGGGTGCAAATTTAGGGTTGTATGTATTTTTGTATGCTGTATCATAAAAAAATAGAAATTAAAAATTTTGTTTAAAAAATAAAAAATTAAATTTAGGGGTGGACTACCCCTAACATTTAGGGGGATGAANTGGGTTGATCGTAGAGGGGTGAAAATTTCAGAGCAATATGAAATTTTTTATTCTAAGTCATGACAAAATAAAAACAAAAATCTTGCAAAAAATTTAGTTTTTAATTAGCAAATAAAAAATAAGGGTTGATCGTAGAGGAATGAAAATTTAGGGTTGTATGTATTTTTGTATGTTGTATCATAAAAAAATAGAAATTAAAAATTTTGTCTAAAAAATAAAATAAAAAATTTAGGGGTGGACTACCCCTAACATTTAGGGGGATGAAAAATAGATGTTGGCCGATTCTCATAGATACCGGATAAGCACAAAAAATTTCATCAAAATCGGTCAAGCCGTTTCGGAGGAGTATGGCAACGAAAACTGTGACACGAGAATTTTATATATTAGATAACACAAGACAAATACCTCTGTCATTGTGACACATGACTCAAGTCTGACTCGTTCAGTTACGACGGCTACAAATCCCAATCCGCGGCTTGGAAATGAAAATACTTGAGAAAGTGCATTCGCAATATAATTGCAGATAAGATACCTCTACGCAATGTTTTTCCTAAATGTTTTCCTTGGGTAGCAAAACGATTTCTCTGATTATTTCAGATGATTGGTCTATCGCAGTAGAGTTACTTCTAAAATAACAATCCCTAGCATTGCTGATGTCCGTTAGCAACGATCTCTCGTTACGATCAAGATGATTAGAAAGGGAAATGATGATCATCAAACTCTACCCTGATAATATAATATTTCCTTCGGTTTTGCTAAGTCCGGGACATAATCAAAACTAGATACTATTTTCAGTCCACAGACGGCCACTGTTGGATATAGGCCTTCCCTAAAATTCGCCCCAATAACCGGTACTGCGCAGCCGTCGTCAAGCTGATTCCCACGACTTTTTGCAGACCTCGTGGGAGACCTACCCAAGTTAGGCTTTCCAGTGTGCAATCGCTGCTCGAGAACTTTCAGCCCTAGCAGCTATAATATGTTCAACGAGCAATACGCCCTAGCCACTACCATTTCAATCTTGAAATCAGTCGGCCTATGTCAGTCACCTTGCCGCTGCCGTATATCATCACTGGTTTATAACCTTACTGTTTTGATAACTTAAATAACTTTTTTATTTCTCCCACCTATTTGTTAGTGGCCTAAGGGGCTATTCCAGTTACGCACGGAAGGGAAGGTGAGATCAGCGGCTCAACCTGAGAGAATTTGTTAACACTGGCCTTAGCAAGAGCAGTGCTTCGCAGAATCTACAATCGGATCGGACTCGCGACCCACTGAGAAGAACCGGCGAGGAAATCAGTGGGATGTGTCTATCTGTGTGAGTACATGACAATTTAGTCGTCCGTGACCACGAAAATTTTATACGAAGCGTAATCTATATTATTATATCTTCTTCTATATATTATATAAAAATGAATTGCTGTTCGTTAGTCTCGCTAAAACTCGAGAACGGCTGGACCGATTTGGCTAATTTTGGTCTTGAATTGTTTATGGAACTCAAGAGAAGGTTTAAAAGGTAGATAAATGTGAAAATGCTCGGAATTAAATAAAAAATTAAATTTTTGTTTTTCCTTTGATGTGTCCCCCGTCGGACGGATTCCTTTTGTTTGTTTTAAGTTTATTTTATACAAAAGTTTAGGTCTTTTATTTATCGATTGAGGCACTACGAAGTCTGCCGGGTCAGCTAGTAGTAAATGAAAATAATAAACATGAAATTAAGCCGTCAAAGTACTTTTAATTATATTTTGCAACAGGTTTCAGTGTAAGTTTTTTTTGACGAAATTATGGCCCGTTTTAAGTAGCTATTGGGGCTTAAATGATTTTACATATATACATACATATTTAATTTTGTGCTAAATCAAAGTCTGATTAGATTTAGCTGGGAATGACGATAGGAATTAGCGACATTCATAGTCTTATCGTAATACGATGATGACAAGAAATTAATGATAATAATGAGGAGTTTGAATGCGATAGAACATAGGAAACTTAAATTGCTAATTTGATTATGAGATTGATATGAAATTGGGTCTATAACTTATACAAGTTGTGCTCTCACACCGAAAAGAGTAAATTCAATAGTGTAGCCATTTGTTTTATATTTAATTTAAATGTCAATGTATGTAGATTTTATCCGGTTACGTGAACGTGATAAAAAATAACTTGTTACAGGAATGACATTAGCTCGGCCATTTTTGTTTGTAACGTCAAAAATAGGTAAACGATTCCAGAATTGTTACTTAACAAAAATAGGCAAAGGAATTCAAGCCTCCGCAAGTGTTGAGGATAATATAAACACAATGTTTTTTTTTCTTTATTGCTTAGATGGGTGAACGAGCTCACAGCCCACCTGGTATTAAGTGGTTACTGGAGCCCAAAGACATCTACAACGTAAATGCGGCACCCACCTTGAAATATAAGTTCTAAGGTCTCAAGTATAGTTACAACGGCTACCCCACCCTTCAAATCGAAACGCATTACTGCTTCACGGCAGAAATAGGCGGGGTGGTGGTACTTACCCGCGCGGACTCACAAGAGCTCCTACCACCAGTAAATGTCCTACCAATGTCAAAGATTCATGCAAGAGCGGTTCTACGCTTCAAACTGAAACGCATTGTGGGTTTGATTGACGACAGACATATGCAGGATGGATCTATTAATCATCGGTCCAGAATACAATCTACCACCGGTACTCATAAAGGGATTGAGGAAATATGGGTAACCCACATAATGTAGAGAGGTAGAGTCTATCCATTCGATGATCATATAGAGTCATCATAGCTGAATCTCTATAGTATATTTCGTAAATTGGAAGTCTTAGCGCGCCAGAAAAATATCGAAAACTCCCGAACAAAAAATTTTGGAAGGAATTTTGGATCACCTAGACATTTAAGTGCGTGAGAAGATCCGTATTTTTTCATCTGTCCAAACTGGCACAACAGATTTATTTTAAAAGAAAATGAATGCTAATATCAGTCATCGATTGAGATTACGATGTTACGAGTGATTTTAAATTAAAATTATATTTAAATTAAGATTTAAAATCCATTAGAATTCGCCCTACAATCTCGTCTCTACATCTTTATATCAAATTGAACCAAATACGTTTGAGTTTCTCAGACCCGAGCTTACTTAACTGTCCCATGATTGATTACTTTTGAATAACAACGTCCATTGAGATTATCTTACCTTTTAACGCGGAGCTGTTGAGTACAATTTTAAGAGCAAGTTTACCTTCCCAATATAGAGGATGGCAACTACGTATTTTAATACGGAGCTATAAAAAACGATATAGTAAAAATAAATTTCAAAGTTTTTCTAATGCACGCAATGTACTGCGATTCATGTTTTTGATTTCCATTACGGGTTACGAAATTTTAACTCAAAAAGGTAGGCTGTTGCAGTTTTCGTTTTCACCTCTATATTTTCGATCGGAAATCTATTTAAATACAACTAGACAGGAGCCATTTCAAGCAAGGTAAAGCAAAAAAAAATGCAAAGGGAAATGCGTTTACCAGACTCACCCAATACATATCCTCGTAATCAAAACGAAACTTACTTGTGAAAAAACCAGAAACGAGGTAGGTATTGCGGCCAGGCCACATAGAAGGTAGAATAAGACCACATGCCAATGGCCGGTTCTCGTGGCCAGCACTGCCGCCTCGTCCAACTCCTTCGTCCAAGACGTCATTGTGACTTGACAGCTGTCATCTCGAATTCAAAGTCACGCACCGTATTCTGACGCGGTAGACGCTTAACATTTTTATCGCAGCCCTTTTAAGTTTTACTCAATTAAATTATAAAGAAAAAACGACGGAACTAATTCAAAAATTTCCATTTAAATCACGTATTTTTTTGTAATCGAAAAACGCAACGATTTACGCAAATTTATTTTAAAATAAAAACTTTTAACACATTCACTGTCAAGTTTTGGGTTCGTTATTTATCTTTGTTTATTTTCACTTTTACGTTGACACGTCCAACGTAAGCGATAACAAAACACACACTGCGCTCAAAAAGGACATTACTATACGCGACCATTAAAAGCTGGTATAAACAATAAGTTATGAACGTTTTAATTTAGTTGCGTTATACGAGAAATTTGTTGGGAGCCACTACTAATGGAACGAGATTTACAATCGAGTTTTTTGTGAGTCGGCCCTTTAGGCTATAGTCTCTTGGAATGGTTTTCCTGCTACCGAGATCCTAAAGCTACAGTTTTTTCGACATTTTCTTTAAAATCATTTTAAACTAAAAAGGCAGATCGTCTTTGAAAAAGCGTAAATGTTAATTTTTTATTGCATAGATGGGTGGACGAGCTCACAGTACACCTGGTGTTAAGTGGCTACTGGAGCCCATAGACATACATAACGTAAATGCCGCCACCCACCTTGAGATATGGGTTCTAAGGTCTCAGTATAGTTACAACGGCTAGCTATCAAACCGAAACGCATTACTGCTTTATGGCAAAGATAGGCAGGGTGGTGGTACCTACCCATGCGGACTCACAAGAGAGCCTACCACCAGTAAAAGTAAAAGTATCTTAGGATTTTCTTGAAATGATTCCATCTTTTTCACTTTATCACTACAACACTACTAGCGGTATTAAGATATTTTTATTAGGCTTCATTCCCACTGTGAGATAAAATATCCCTCTCAGTGTTTCTATACTTCCCAAACGTCTTACCATATCCTTCTACGAACAAAAACTTCAAATTTATTTTATGTTATAATATAACGAGAACTATGTTGGTGACATACATTGCCAGTCAAAGAGCTGTATTTTTAGATCTGACTAGCTGTACCCGTTCGCTTCGCTGGGCATTTAAAATTAACATTATTATTTCTCACCACCACAAAGATTCTCATCATTAACGCCCCCGCAACTGGTGTAGTGAGTCCAACACTCATATAAATATTAGCCCATTCATAAAGTACGTGTATTTTCTACATGGATACCAAGTTTCAAGTCAATCGGATGCATGGTTCAGTAGTTATAACGGAATATCCGTAAAAACCACTGTAGATTTATATTAGTTTATATTAGTATAGATTACGTAATCAAACAAAAAAGAGTGCGTGTACTTATGTACGCGCGTGAGAAATTATACTTTATTTTTATTAAATTTATTTCTTTTTTTTATTTCAATTTTAATCAATTTGAAAAAAAAAATGATTAAACAACATCCTCAAACACGCATATTGGACATCCCTTTTCTTGACATCGTATAAATTCGGTAGTTCTCGGTACGGTTCGGAAAGTTCACCTGCGGCTATATTCAGACTCGCCAAGTTACGTCGGTCGTATTGTAATGAGCGATTTAGTGGGCAACTTCATTCTGTTAATTTTGTGTCACGGTGCGTGCGCATCGTAAAATTTAACTCTCATCAATTTTTCATAACGCACCTAAAGAAGTATAACTTCAATAATAATTTACGTAAAAATTATCTCTATTCGAAACTATTTGATTAGGATCGAGTAAAAAGTGAGAACCAATAGTTTGAACTTTGTAATATCAAATCAAATGCAGCAGACACGTTCCTCGTGCACAAACACCTCAGATTTATGATGGCGTCTTATTTAAATTGAATGTACAATGAAAAAAAACTTGTCAGTACTCATTCAAGTTGTGTTGTGATCTTGATGTGTGCCTTTATTAATAAAATCTACACAATTAAATTCTGAGAATTTGAAAGGGATTTGTATTTTTTTTTTTGCTTCGATGTGTGGACGAGCTCACGGCCACTTGTGTTAAGTGGTTATCGAATCTCATCGACATATAACAACGTAATTTTTCACCACTTTGAGACATGAGGTCTCAGCTTTTATGGTACAACGGCTACCCACTCTTCAAACCGAAACGCATTACCTCTTCACGGCAGAAATAGGCAGGAAGGTGGCACCTACCCGTACGGACTCACAAGACGTCTTAACGAGTAATAACGCAAATTATAATTTTGCGGGTTCAATTTTTATTACACGATTTTCAGCCAGGTACCAGGTTTGGTACCTGGATGGTTGAAAATCTTCACGGCCAAATCGCAGTGAGTCCGATTTTATTGCCCTTGTAGGCAGACGAGCATACGACCCACCTGATGGTGAGTGGTTACCGTCGCCCGTTGACTTCAGCAATGCCAGGGGCAGAGCCAAGCCAATGCTTTCTTACCTATATATTATTATACGATAAATTCAATTGTCTAAACAGTTGACAATGTTGACAAATTATCGTCTAACTCATGAGTTATCGGGAGTTTCACATACTACATACGATCTAGTGGACCGAATAGTAAACAGTCGACGTCGCCCTAAACACGTCATTACGGATCCTCCCGATCCATTAACGGTGCTTTTAGGTACCTCAAGCACCGATCACCGTCCTCGCCAAACCCGTCGCTTGCGACGAAGGGCTCAACAAGTAAAATAACCCATAGACACAGCCCACTGAGTTTCTCGTCGGATCTTCGCGTTTCCGATCCGGTGGTAGATATTGCGAACACTGCTCCTGCTAAAGCCAGCGTTAGCAACACTCCCTTTTTGAGCCCCGTGAGTTCACCTACACCTCAAGGCGAAGCTGAGTAGCCTCTCAAGGCTATCAGCATAGGTAGGGAAAAAAAGGAAGTTTTGTGAAACCATTATGAGGACACCATTTAAAGTATTGTTTAAAATCTTTAGATGTTGCTCGAACGATTATAAATTGTTCCAATAACTTATAATGAGACTATTAGCATAGTATTGTCTTCAGCTTACGTCAGACGCAGGCATAATACTATAATGGTTTAATTTCGTTTTTATTATTTTTAGAATATTACTTCTAACGCTTCGAATACATTTTTGATTTGACGGCGCAGTGGTTAGCGCCTCGACTGTTACGTCGAGGGTCGTGGGTTCGACTCCCACATCGGGCAAACATTGTGTGATGAGCAGATATGTTTGCTATTTGTCTAAGTGTCTATTATCTATATATGTATATAATTAAATGCATTTATATAAGTATATTTAACAGTTTCTGGTACCCATAATACTCTCCTCCTCCTCGCGTAGTTTCTTCACTGCTGAGGGTCATGACCATCATATTTCGACAGGATTTTACTCCTTCCAATGTCTCCCTAGCGCCTCCGATCATTGGTCGCATAAAGCGCTTCGTGGAATGGGATCTCTAATGTGGTGCGGATTCGGTCGAACCACTTTATCGGACTGCGCCTGCGCGGTCTCTTTCCTCTATCTTCCAAGTCACGAATAGTCTCTCTAAGCTGACGGGTGTTTTTCGAGCAATATGACCGAAGTAGGTACACGAGTACACGGCGAAGACAGAGTGTGAACAGTCTTGTCTTGATCTGCAGTTGGTCTAAGCCCACAATACAGAGAATCCTAAAATGGGGCCGGTTGACCGTGCATGGTTTGTTTCCAATAATAATGTTACGCTGGTCAGAGTAACGCCATCTATCGCCGAATAGTGGAACGAATATCGAAGGACCGAGAACTCTCGAGAAGTACAGCGCCATCTATTGTCAGATAGCGGAAGCTACTACTAGAGATGTGTGGAACATTCTCGATAATTCTAGGGATGAGGTATCGGCTATAAAAGCATTGCAGAGATGGCACGCAGCCAGTCAGTAATCGGAACTACTCGAAGCGAAACAGCGAACGGATCGAAGCACACAAGCAAATTGAGAGTTTTAAAGTGTTTGTTGAGTGTTTTAAGTGTTTTAAGTGTTGAATACATAGTATTTAGTTGTAATTCGGTAGAATTTTTATTTATCCCGAACCCCAGCGCGTAACAATAATTATTATAATACTGGATGTCGTGTGAATATCGTGATGACTACCATCAAATTGTCTATTAATCAAGACCATTAGTTCATTGACTCTTTAGCTAGAATTGTCGATTGATCTATTGCACGCGGTAGGCGCAATATAATTGTTATCAGCAAATAAAGCTAATTACTTCGATAAGATTAGATAGTTGTAAGAATAGAAAATAGAAATAGCTTATCGACGGCCCTCGTGATATAAATGCGTTTAAATAATATATAAAGGGCCTTTTACATTAATAATTATGCTAATTTAAAATTTTAGGAAAAAGGTGTCATCAATAAAAATGTAGCCTTCGTCACTAGGGATGATGTGAAGACAAATGATACGTCTGTAAGGGCTTTTAAAAGTTATTATGGCATTTAGAATGTCACATACATTCATGAACCCTAAAAATCTTTAACTCCATGCTCTTTTTTAGTCCCGTTGTAAAGCATATTTTTTACTCCACCTCTTTTGGGTAGTCGTATAATAATTATACATCTCTGTGCTTAGTGCGAGTTTTTTAACGTTCTCGATAGCGTAAAAGTTAACTCAAATTTGTATGGAGTTCAAACGTTTGCCTAAGTTTGCCGCTAGGGGCGCTGTTCCAACTCCATACAAATTCGAGTTAACTTTTACGCTGTTGAGAACGTTACAAAACTTGCTCTTGGTCTAGTTTAGTTGATTTGTTCATCATCTGTGTATGCACGCTGCCACTCAATAAAGAGGATACCCTTTACTGTACGTGAAACTGAAGGCAGAGTTTCTAGAAATTAGTTATATCATTTATATCACCTGACATTCAACACTTTCTAGTAAGGTTAACTAGATTTAAAGAGTCGTTCCTTAAAATAGTGGTAGGGCTGCTATTTCGTAATAACAATAAAAAATAACGATCGAAAGTGTGCGAAAAATATCGCGATGTGCACAGGAATCTGCATATACTGTTCCTTGATCTGGAGCGTACGATCTAGAGCAGTTTTGGGATGGGCATTGAATGAGCAAGGTATACCTGGTAAGTATGTGAGGTTTATTTGTGCCATGTACAGCCGATCCAGGCCGTATATACGAACCGCCGCAGGGTCATTTTGGCAACGGGGCAAGCCCATCAAATTCCCTATCTATTTCTACTGGTGATGGGTGCCTTGACATAGGAAATACAGGAAAAAGTCTCTTGGTGTATGCTGTTTGCCGACGA